AAAAAAAAAAAAACTTTTTTTCTCCTTGCCGGCGCGGCGCAACCGACCAAAAAAAAAAACACACAACCGCCTTAATGAAACCTCCGCCCTGACACCACCGCCGACCTGAGTTACGAATGCCTTTTCGAATTCAGGCCCTGACACAGACGCCGATGCCTGTTTTTCCTGCCCATTATGAACTCCCATGTGACATAAACGTACATATTCATAACGAAAGTAACCGAGTGCCAAAGCAGGCAGAGCTTTGTCAACTCTTCCGGCTCGGAAGCGAGTCGCATCACTCCTGAGACACGAAAGAAAGAGAGAGAACACAAAGCGGCTCGGAAGTGAGTCAAGCGGGCTCGAAAGTGGGTCGATAAACTCCACACCGAGTAGTGACGAAGAAGAAGGGAGGTCGATTCAGTCGAATCCAATAACACGACTTGATTTCACGATAGGTCAAGTGGATGAGATAACTCCACTTGGTTTCACCATTGGGTGGAGTGGAGTGGGAGAGAGAAGACTCCTTGACGCCAGAGGAGGGAGAACATGGTGACGGTAAGACAGTCAGAGGCACTCCAGCAAATGCGTTCAGCGGCCCTTTAGGGAGGAAATTAGGCCCTATGGCAAGCTGACAAGCCTGTGTCGAGGGAAGCACCAGAGCTATCGCTCAGCTTCTCAAGACCACAGCCAACACATACCAAAAGCGAGGACAGAGAGACGGACAGAGAGACGGACAGAGAGACGGACAGAGAGACGGACAGAGAAACATGAAAGACAGACCGGCGACCGATGGACCGACGAACCAACCGACCGACGGACTGGCAGACCGACTGACTGACGTACTGGTGGACCGACTGACCGACGTACTGGTGGACCAACTGACCGACAGATGGATCGACTGACCGACGGATGGACCGACCGATCGACCGACCTACCGCCTGCCAGCTCACCTGCCCACCCGACCACCCGATCGACCGACCTACTGCCTACCGCCTGCCAGCTCACCTGCCCACCCGACCACCCGACCACCCGATCGACCGACCTACTGCCCATCCGTCCCCAGTCGATCACCTGACTGCCCAAACGGCCGACTGACCAACCGGCCGACAGACAGAGGAGAGTACAAACTAAGGGTGACGAGTGACTCGGGCGAGGACCCTCTTGACCGGAATGGACTACCGTCTTCACCTGAATAGAACGCCCGGTCATTACAGCCATATTTGGAGCAACTTTCAGTCCAGATGCAGCCATACTGACCGGGCGTTCTATTCGGGTGAAGGCGGTAGTTGAATGGCTGGTTCTCGGACTCCTTTTCTTCTGCCCAAAGTCCCAGACTCCCAGCCCCTGATTCGTGTCCCAGTGCAATGCAGCCAAATCACATGAGGTCTCAATTGCTGAGTCACTAAAGCAGATGCAAACTTCCAATGGAGATCGGCCAGCCTCAGGATCAAGCACAACTCTCAAACATGGGGGTTCTGACGTCAGCAGGGAGAGTGTTATGGCTGTGCTGTGCCTGACGTCATTCCACATTCAGTCTCCCTTGACTCCACACTCATGTACTCCTCTCAGTGTGTCCTCACGGGGACCTCGCCATTTTTTCCGCATCCCTGCCATCGACGTAGTTTTCCACTGTTTTCCCCCGTACCCATGCGATCTCAGATCAACCAGTCGTTCGTTCATTTCCGCATCCCCGTAATTTTCCACTGTTTTCCACGTAACCCTTGCGATCTCAGTAAGGAGTTGAGCCCCGATTCCCCCTTCGCATGTTGTGCCATTCGTCGTTAGCCATGTATAAACATGCGGGTGAGGAGTCTGAGGACACATTGCATGGCCACCTTCTGCACTCAACAGTCTGCGAGCAGACAGACTGACCATAGGTTGTTCATTTTTTTGTGGACGCTCTCTGCGCCCTTCGTAGAGACTCAAAGAAGTCCCAACATCTGGGCAGAACCAACCAAACACCGAAACTCATCGTTTCAAGGACCAAAACACATACATCCGGCATTTGGTTGGGTTTAGGTTTCGAAGTTAGGGATGAACCCGGGGAAGATTGGCAGGGCCCATGCACAAGGATGACACAGTCACACAGACAATTAGTCTTTTTTTTTTTTTTTTTTTTTTTTTTTTTTACAACAGTCAGCAGCCGAAAACATCACCAGCGCGCCTTTCCTTGCCACATCCTGAAATTTTCTGAGCCTTGGCGCATATCTGTATTAACCTGGTATCCTGTATTTCAGTCGAGTTTCAAGCTAGGCTGGTCCCTAGGCGCCCCGGCTGGGGCTACCCTCCCGGGCGGCCCGGGCCTCAGACAATTAGTCATTAATAATTGTTAATTACATTATTTGAATTTATTTCCTGTTTTCAATTTTTGGACCATTTCCTGATTCAGGTGTCTATTCCTTGCACAAGGGCCATGCTAATCTTCTCTGTGTCGTTCCAATTTTAACAGATGTCCTAAAGGATATCGAGAAACAATCTAAAAAAAAAAAAAAAAAAAAAAAAGTGGGGATCAACCGGGGGAAGAAGACAACCGACCACATGGGGAAAGAGAGGCAGCCAGTGGCCGGTTCTCCTTTTTTTTTTTTTTAATAATAAATTGAAACAGGTACTTACGGTTGTGACTAATTTTCCATTCTGGGAAGCATCAGTCCAGTAACTCCAGTTCCTTTTCCCCCGAGAAGTCAAAATAGGTATATCATGTACAGGCCGCCAGGACATCCGTTGAAATTGGGGCGATACAGAGAAGATCAGCATGGCCTTTGCGCAAGGATGCCACACAAATCGAGAAATGGTCCGGAGGAAAAAAAAAAAAAACACTAAAAACACCAGAAAAAAAAAGAGAGGAGGAAGTAAGAAGAATGCGGAGGTATATCATACACTCACACACCCACACACACAACGCTACCCCTGACCAGCATTGATTGCTCCTTTGATTAGAGGATTGACTGTCAGATTGACATCCTTTGAGATATCTCTCAGACTTGGTTTGAAGCCTCCCATCTTCACCCGAATAGAACGCCTGGTCATTATCATCGCTGTATGCAGCCTGAAAATTGCCCTAAATGAGGCAATAGCCGCTATACTGACCCGGCGTTCTATTCGGGTGAACGCGGTAGGCTGTCAATTCCTCCTCTCCAAGATTCCCAGACTTCCCAGTGCCATCCAGCACTCACGAGAACCTGTGAAAGAATGACACTCTTCCTTCAAATGACGTCCCATTTTTCCTTCCATCTCAGCCTGTTCTCGTGAATAGAGTTCAATAGATGCAATTCTTCCATCTCAGCCTGTTATCGTGAATAGACGCAGTAGACACAATTCTTCCATCCTGAGGACTAATCTGTTGATAGCATCTTCTTTGCCTGAAGCTTGTCCGGGTGACTCGTCCCGCATCTCTGGAGTTTCTTCCATTTGCACCCTGATTGCTGTTCCCCCCCTGTCTCTATTTTTACAGGCCACCTTGTTGAGGCAGGATTGTCTGGTAGGGACGCCTGTCCAAATGAAACATCCGACCGGCCGTTTTGTGGAGTTCTTTCAATGTGCCTTGCCAGGTGGGGACCACACGGAGGCCATGGACCGGAGCGTCAAAAGGACTGATGTGCTGGTGATCAGGACCCTGCCTTGCAGTGAGGCTTGGACTTGCTTACTTGAGAGTAAAGAGAAAAGCAATCGATGCGATAACCGTGCCTCCAACTTTCAGTGTTCATCCATTTGTTCCTTAATTCTTTTCGTTCCTTTTCTTTTCTTCTCTTTTTCATTTAATTGACTATTGAGTATCGAAGCATATTGCAGAAAAAGAGGGCGTTAATGTATTTCAGTAATTTCAGTTACCATTATTATTATTATTATTATTATTATTATTATTATTATTAAACTTAATTAAAGTTAATTAAACAGTATTAATTTACTATTAAACCACCCGTACAACGCCCAGGCGTAGTCGAGAATCGAAATTGACCCAAACCCGACGATTTAGGGCGAACAGCGCTGCCAGATCAAAATGGCTAACAGCGCCAGCCAAAAAACTTGAAAAAGGCAAAAAAAAAAAAGTGCGCCGCTGGCAGATTGGTCTTCATTGGTGCGCCCAGTGCCAATCCGCATTGACGAAAAAGAGGCTCAGAGGTACCCAGTGCCAATCATTGGTGCTCAGAGGTACTTGTGGTTTAAGGTCAGACAGTCAGACTCGCAAGGGGCAGGAGCCTCTCCTGCCTCCCTTCCTTGCGTCTTGACTCTCGAGTCTCGACATACAAATCTGCGTGCCTCCTGGTCTCCCTCCTTGCTTCGTCATGGAGGGAACAGACAGATTTGAAGAACGCCTTTGCGTCTTATGGCACAAGCAATTTCCTTAGCGTTTTCTGCTTCGACTGAAGCTGGTCCATTAAGTTATCCATGAATGCATTGACTTTGAAATGCTGTCTGCATTGGTGGACATTGCAGCAAGATCCGACTACGTTGTTTTAAAGCCATCGAATGACAAACGATGGTTTGTTAAATGACATGCCACACAGCATAAGAATGGCTACCATATTTGTCACAGGGATCGTGTCTGACGAGTGCCATAAAAGTAGATAGGAAGTAGCAGTACTCACTTGATAAGGTGCAGAGGTAGGGCCTCCGACCCTTGCAGTTTGTGGTCGCATACCGAGCAGTGATGACCCCTTCGCCTCCCTCCGGGGGATGGGCGATACGGACGCAATTGCCGTCACCAGTGTCCTGAAACAAACCACTCTTATCTTCAGCTATGTTCCAACTTACTCTGCAATCTGACCACACATAACTGACGGCATTGCCACTATCTGGAGCGCCCCAGGCAGTGCCAGATATTGTACTCCTGACACCAATGAAAGGGAGATTACTGGGACTATCTGGGACCTTCCCTTTGACGAGATATAGATAAGCGCTGTAAATTCCTCTGGCCTCGACATCATTGCTGGGAGATGCAAGAGTGGCATTCTTCTTCTTACAGTCCTCATCGGCCTCAGGCCAGGTGAGACGTCGCTCCTCCAATCGAACACAATACCTGGGAGAAGTGGATGAACTCAAGGTCCATCCTGCAGGACATTCTGACCAGCCTTCATTACTGTCAGCTGTACGCAATTGCCCTGACAAAGTAACACAGAAAACAAGCAAGTAAGGATCCGTAAAACCTCTCTCTCTCTCTCTCTCTCTCTCTCTCTCTCTCTCTCTCTCTCTCTCTCTCTCTCTC